ACCATTTTAAGACGCTTGTGGACTCTGCCACTAGCTTAATAAATCTTTTTTATATATATAATCAAAGCCAAACCATCATTCAACCCCTCTTTGGTAAAATGCTATAAACAAAATATGTTAAACATTGTTCTGGTGTTTTTTAGTTCCCTTTAAGCATAATTAGTTCCGTCTTCTTGCTTGTAATTAATAAATTCCTTTGCTACAAGCTAGCTCGGAAAACCCGTTCTATTCGGGAAAACCCGTTCTGTTCGGGAAAACCCGTTCTGTTCGGGAAAACCCGTTCTGTTCAGGAAACGGAAACATTAATTCTCGAGTCACATCTTCCCCCAAACAGCGATCTGTCAAAATATTAGAAGAAATCGTGGGAATAGTTTTGTCCGGGTGTTTGCGCTTTTCTTTAACGACACGTTGCGTTTGTCTTTCCGAGAACAACCTCATCAGACAGGCAACTCAAGTGAAAGCTGTCTCATAGTCGAAGATAAAGCCCCGTATATCAACAAAGAGTACGGGAACTTCAATAATGACGGCGAACGCTATACTGGAAGCGACATGCGCTAACCTCATCATTATTATGGAGACAATGTCATATTTTAGCCCAGTCCTTTTTCCAGTTTTTCGAGTGGCAGCTCATTAGGACTGGCACGAGAAACGGGACGTACACAGTCAAGAATCGCACGTTATTTTAGTCAGGTTGTGTTGAAGATTTAGCATTTATTACGATAATTGGCCGGAAAATACAATAGAACAAGGGGATAATACTGATGAATAAGTATATAAAAGAAAATATTTGAAGAAATGCGTAGATTTTAGAGTTTGGTATAAAACCCAGCATGAATGGTGGGAGAGCGAGCAGCCATGAATTAAGTGTATCAAATGTTTGTTGTTGCCATTCAACATACAAATAATCCCAATGTTATTCTTACAAAAGGCTCTAGAGTTAAGTTTAGCAGAGTGATACACCATATTTGCAACACCACATAGCTTAGGTATATGAGCGTCACAAGCATGTGGCTACATAGGACTGAGATTGCCAAGTTACTTGAGATAACTTAATTTGAGCACTAGTCAAATATGAGTTCAGATTAATATTTCCTCACGGATATATTTCACGGCTCAATTCGCCAAACGACCCCCATCTTTGAGAGACAAAAGAAGAAATTTTTCAAGTTAATTAACTGTTTTATCATAAACATATGCCTGACATTCAAGATTGGAGTTTGCGATTAAACATTAATTTTACAATGCATGCATATGTCAAATGACGGTGTTCTCTCTGGTACAAAAGCGAAAAATAGATTTGGAAGGATCAATGCACTATCCTCAAAAGCCACTGAAGGGAGCTTATGCATTCCGCTACTAAATATATTAACGCGAAGCAAGATATTTCTTCATTCGTAGATGGCATTACAAAATAGTTTAACATTGTTAGGTCTTTGTAATTGCCTTTCACTATATGCATCGCTAATTTATATAGTGACTTCCTGCTTTTAATGTAAAAATTCCTTCGCTAAATCCAGAACCCAGAACTCGACGAAAAGCAGGGAAAATACATATTATACGGATAGAATAATTCTCGTCTCACCTCTTGCTCCAAATCGTGTCTACAGCTATTCAGTCGTCAATCATGTTGGAAGAAATTGTGGGAATGATTCTGTCAGTGTTTTCGCTTTTCATGAACGAAGCGCCGCGTTTGTCTTTGCGACAACAACTTCATGAGGCAGACGACTCTAGTGAAAGCCGACCGATGGAGGAAGATAAATGGCTGCCATATATCAATAAAGAATACGAGAACAATAATAGCGACGATGAATTGATTTCGCCATTGCCCGAATTCAGTAGACAAAGATTGGCAGACTATAGCAGGATTGGTGATGTGTCACCGGTTCAAATTGTGAGTTATCGGAAGTCTATTTGCAAGAGTTTTTGGACAAGTCTAAATATAACAATCGCTATTATACCCCTAACGGCATTTATGATGGCGTTGATATATTTGGATTTCAAGACAAATGATCTTTGCATAGAATGGTGTAGTGTCGTAGCAAATAACGATCCCTCAGTAACAAAATAGAACTAAATATGCGCATAATTAGGTACTCATGCGTACGAACAGAGACATATAAAAGGACAAATAATATATATATAAAAAGAAACGGAATACGGAGTCTTCGAGTAAACATTAATATTTTCGTTAGAAGTGTAATATATATCTAGAAACATAGGTGAATAAATATCGATACTAACACGATATCCTACATTGGCGACGAGGATAACTAGACAAACACCCAAAGCTATAATCATAAAAGTTATACACGTGTTAACATGGCTAATAGCATGTCTATAAACTTTCCGCCGTTTGACCCAGACGTAGATCAAACGACAGTCGGCAACAGATTTACCAAATACGTTGATCGATTTAAGAACTATATAATCGCAATGGATATTAAAGACAAAGCCAGAAAAAGAGCCCTATTTCTACACACCGCGGGATTCAAGGTGCAAGACATTTTTGAAACGCTAGAGGAAACAGGAGACGATTTCGAAACGGCGGCTTCGAAGCTTGCAGAATATTTTCAACCCAAAAGGAACAATCTTTACAACATATACCAACTCAGACAAATCCAACAAGAACAAGACGAAACCAGCGATGATTATTGCACAAGATTAAAGCAAGCAGCGAGATTATGTGAATTCCCAGAGGGCTGGCAAGACACCGAAATACAATTGCAGATCATAGATAAAGGAAAATCGAAAAGACTACGACGACAATTGCTGAGTAAAGAACATACGCTACAAGAAGCGCTTGAGTTCGCAAGAGCACAAGAGATAGCAGATAGCCAAGCATCGACGATCGAGAAAGGACTTAAGTATGAAAAATTACGAGTCGAAGAAATACATGAAACAAGAATAACACCAGAAAAAACCGAATCATCAAAGAAATGCTTCTTTTGTGGGGGAAAATTCCCGCATCAAGGTGGAAGGACCAAATGCCCAGCCTGGGGTAAAGAATGTAAAATATGTAACAAATCCAACCACTTCGCAAAATGTTGTAAAAGTTCAAACAGACTAAAGGCGGTAGGAAAGATCGAGAAGGAAGATAATGACAGCGTATCAGACAGTAGTGACGATATATCGGTTTACAATGTCGGGGCAGTAAGCGCTGGGGCAGTAGAACCTGAGCGTAGACCAGTTCGAACGATAAAGATAGACAACAGTAAGATAGATGTCCTGGTAGATACGGGAGCCACGGCAAACATCATAGACGAGGAAGCGTTTAGGAAATTATACCCAAAAGGACAGACATTAAGAAAAGTAAAGAGCATCATGCAACCATACCACACAGAGGAAAATCCAACTCCACCATTACGTATTATTGGCAAATTCGACGCGATGATTGAATCCGAGACAAGATTGGTGTCAGCAACATTTTACGTGGTAAAGGGGAAGACAAAAACAGAGCCATTGCTTAGCTACCAAACTGCCCAAGAACTGAACATGATTAAGGTTGTAACGGCAGTAAAGGAGCAACCCTCAAGAGTGGAGGAATTATTGACGACTTATAACGATAGATTCGAAGGTATTGGGAAAATGAAAGGAGTAAAAGTCGACCTCAATATCGACACAGAAGTTAAACCAGTCGCACAACCACTTCGGCGGATACCGTTTAGTATACGTCCGAAGATAGAAGAAGAGTTGAAAAGGCTGGAGGAGAAAGATATCATAGAGAAAATAGATAAACCTACTAGTTGGGTGTCCCCCACAGTAATCACCCCCAAGAAGAATCCAAACGAAATACGTCTCAACGTCGATATGAGAGTAGCTAATAGTGCCATCCCCGAGTGAACAGCATTACGCCAACGATCGAAGAAGTGATACATGAATTAAATGGAGCGGAAGTCTTTTCCCACCTAGATATGAACCATGGATACCACCAGTTGGAGCTTGAAGAAAACAGCCGTGATATAACAACCTTCACGACACATACCGGATTCTACAGGTATAAGAGACTCAACTATGGGACGAAATCAGCTGGTGACATATTTCAAAACAAAATACGGGAAGAACTGACCCAGCACATACCAGGCGTTATTAATATCAGCGACGATATACTGGTATCGGGGAGAAATCAACAGGAGCACGACGAAAGACTAGAACTACTTCTTGAAACAGCGAAAGATAAACAGGTTACTTTCAATAAATCGAAGTGCGAATTTAGCAAAGACAAGTGTTTATATTTCGGGTTAGTATTCTCGAAGGACGGAGTAAGCCCAGACCCGGGCAAAGTTCAGGCAATCAAAACAACATCTCCACCACGGAATGCCAAGGAACTTAATTCATTTTTATGCACAGTGCAGTATAACGCTAGATTTATGAAAAGATTTGCACCTTCGACTGAAAAATTGAGGAGCCTTTTGAAAGACGAACATTTTAAATGGGAAACTGAACACCAGAGAGCATTCGAAAACCTAAAAAAAGATTGTGTGACGAGACCAGCCTAGTGTACTTCGATCCCAAGGCGGAACACGAAGTTCACGTAGATGGGTGTCCTCTGGGGATATCAGCAACACTGGTGCAAAGAAGTGACAAAGAGGGACCGTGGCGAGTAGTACAATACGCAAGCCGCTCGTTGACAGATACAGAAAGCAGGTACTCACAGATTGAGCTGGAAACCCTGGCTGTAGATTTCGCATGTAAGAAATTTCACCTGTATTTATACGGAATACCTTTTACAATAATCACGGACCACAAACCATTAGAAGCAATCATAAATAATCCAAGACATCAAACCTCAATACGGCTACAGAGAATCTTGGTAAGGATTGTGGACTACGATTTCAAGGTAGAATACAGGCCGGGAAAACAACATATCCGATTATACTTCAAGGCACCCGCTACCGCGTAAGGAGTGTACCAAGCAAGAGCTAAGTACAAGTAAGGAAGTAAAACAATATGTGAACTATATTCTCCAAAATGACGTGCCTATCTCGATTAGTATAGAGGAAATGAAGCAAGCTGTGAAAGAAGACCCAGCAATGAGAAAACTGTCGCAATGCATAAAAAGAGGACAAATGGTGAATACAGAGGATATCAGTGGATATAAAAACGTATTCCAGGAACTGGCATTGGTGGACGACCTGATCATGCGAGGTGAAAGAATGGTAGTCCCAGACAAGTTGCAGAAACGAATGATACAGATTGCCCACGAAGGACATCAAGGAGTAGTACGAACTAAACAAATGCTCCGTGCACACGTCTGGTTCCCGGGAATAGATGCAGCAGTGAAAAACTACACGGACAAGTGTTTGGGATGTCAAGCAACTACGCCATTGAATAACAGAGAGCCACTACAAATGACAGAACTACCAGATGGACCATGGGAAAAAGTCAGCATGGACTTCGCGGGACCCTTACCAAACAAAGATACGATATTGGTAATGTGGGATCAATATGCCAAATACCCAGTAGTCGAATTCGTCACCACAACATCGGCAGAAACAACAATACGTGTGCTGGAACGTATCTTCACTACATATGGTACTCCAAAAGAGATAAAGACAGATAATGGACCACCATTCAACTCGGGAAAATTTTCAGAATTTGCAAAAACGCTGGGTTTTAAACACCGGAAAGTTACTCCAAAATGGGCCGAGGCAAATGGTGATGTCGAAAGAATGATTCAAATCATAAAAAAAAGTGCGAAGATAGCGAAAATAGAAGGAAAGAACATCCGACAGGAAATTCAAAAAACAATCAGAAGCTATCGAGACACGCCACATGGAAACACCGGAGAAACCCCCAACAAGTTGATCTTTGGGAGGGAACTGAATGGTCGTCTACCACCTCGAATGAAGAAGAAGACAGTATCTGATGCAACCATCCGACAAAGAGACGCAACTGCTAAACAAAAGTGCAAGGCCTATGCAGACAGCAGGAGACATACCAAAGCGATACACATCGAAGTGGGAGACAAAATACTTGTGGAGCAGGACAAAATTGACAGTCTAACCCCTCGTTATAATCCGGAACCGTTTGTGGTGATCGCAAGGAAAGGCTCGATGATAACAGCTCAGAAAGGAGAGACTATACTATGCAGAAATACAGCGAAGTGTAAACGTTTGAAATGCGCTGAGGATGAAGAAAGCGACAATGAATGGCAACCATCATTAAGTAGGCAGATGCAACCTGATAGAGAAGAGAGAGAGCCGACGAGACAGAGGAGCCCACGACCAATGAGGAATAGAATATCGACAAAGCAAACAATATACAAGGATTTTCATACATAATAGACGGAAAATATATATAAGAGGGGAGGGATGTAGTGTCGTAGCAAATAACGATCCCTCAGTAACAAAATAGAACTAAATATGCGCATAATTAGGTACTCATGCGTACGAACAGAGACATATAAAAGGACAAATAATATATATATAAAAAGAAACGGAATACGGAGTCTTCGAGTAAACATTAATATTTTCGTTAGAAGTGTAATATATATCTAGAAACATAGGTGAATAAATATCGATACTAACACGATATCCTACAAATGGCAATATCAAAACCACAGTTTACCGTTGTCTATAAAACGGACTCAATTGATTGGCCACAGTGTGGAAGTGTTAATAATATTCCTTTGGTTTCCTCTGACAGCTGTAGTGCTGTTCAGCTGGAAAGTTTTCAAAATGAAGTACTTTTCTACTTTTTATGTTGGTGTTATTTTTGGATTAATGGTAGTTATCTATTACTTATTTTTAATGGTATTTGGGGTCTACGAGACGCACGTGTATTACAGATCTCCTGCAAATGTTCTTTTCCTTATTGGAATCATCGTCTGTTCTGTGCTTATATTGCACAATATTCGAGTCAGTGAGCAAAACATATCTTATTCCAACTTCCATATATTGTCTTTGGTATCGTCAGAATTTCTCCTGGGTTCTCTGCTGGCATACATTCACAGATACGGCATAGTTCCTTTCTTCAATGGTGTAAAAGAAGAACAATATAAGTTTATGATCGCTGCTATGACTCCTGCGTCAGCCATCATTCCTGCAGCAATATTGAAGCTCATTGCGTTGAGGCGAAGTTCCGAGATAGTAAATCCCGGTCGGAGTTTTCTTTTGGTGTACTGCATTCGAGGTGGAATAATTTTCGTATACCGTACCATGCAAGCGGACTTTAAAAACATTTGGCTGTTCGTTGGACTTTCATTATTTTTTGGTGTTTTGAACTTTTTGAAGAAAGCAACCTATCGCTTAAGAATGAGATTGTGGAGTTACATCATCTCACAGTTGAAGCGAACTGTTTGCTGTCAAAGACTTCACGAAATGCCTCGTGACACACCACACTACAGAAGATTAAGAGCCGATTTAGAAATTCAAGACATGCTTTTTGAGTACATTACACTAGTTCTAAGTCAAGGAACCTTAGTCTTGTACATTGTGGAAAGTTTTAAACTTTCTGTTTCGTCCATCGTATACGAGAGTTTGAGGAACATTGCTATTGGCATTGGAATCGACTTCTTTTTCAATGTTTTTTCCATTTTTGTTCAAATTCATTACTACAACATTCCAATTAGTCGCGTGTGGTCGAAGTACTGGAAACGACATGTGCTTGCTAACCTCATCATTCTCATGGTGATGGTGTCGTATTTCAACTCAGTCCTTGTATCGATTTTTAAAGTCCGCATCAATTGGACCGGCACAGACCACGGGGCGTACATTGTCAGAAACTGTACCTCGTTTCAGTAACGAACAGCCCATTAAGAGGACGAGACAACTTAAGGCTGTCTATTTAGTCCTATCGAAATAGAATGTAGAATCAACTCTTAATAGAAACGACATTTGTTTGCTAACCTCATCATTGTCATCGTTGTCATGGTGATGGTGTCCATGCGCGCGTCCAAGGAACGAAACCAGTGAACAGAACAGACATTATACATAGTCAGGAACTGTCCTTTATTTTAGGGCAGGCCTACCAAAAAAAATAAATAACTTTAAGACTCTGCATTAAGTCCATTTTAAGTGGAGTGTGGAATCAACCCTTATTATAGTGGTGTATTCCAGGTGATCTCGCTCTTATATTTTGGCCAATCAGCGGTCAAAATGGTTGCCGAAATGGAAATTTATTCGCAGTATTTAATGGATTACATATGTTTATATCTCTCGTTATTCGTTATGAAACTTATCAAAATTTTTAGGACTAGGTTTAGTTCTTAAATAGTTCAGTTCGCCATAAATTTTAAACCGAAATAAAAGTATATTTCGACAGATATTAAAGTTTTTTATTCGGGAAGTGGATTTTTATTTGGCAACTAGTACAAGTCCCAGTATTTTCCCGCCATTTCAGATCAACTTGCCGAATAGCGCTATCCACCGGATAGTGATTTTTTCAACCCTTCTAAAAATGCTTGAAAAGCAATAAAATTTCAGCTTTGGAACGAAAATTTATTAAAGAGGATTCTCACTTTAGGAATACTAAGATTCAATCAAAGTTATACCCAACAACAGGCGACTTTGAAAGCAAGTGAAAAAATCACTATCCGGTGGATAGCGCTGTCCGGCTTTCATACAACCGGCCCCAGGGGCCGATTGTATCAAGCCCGTTTAGCTTAAACGGTGGATAAGTTAAAATTAAAAAACACTCTTACATCTCTCTGGAATGAGTCAACTTTAATATTATGCACCGAATTCGAATATGTAGTTGTAAACCGCTTCTTTGAATTAAGTTTAAAAACATTTAGTTCGCTTGTTGAATAAAACGTTAGACTTGCTTTCTATTTTGAACTTATCCACCGTTTAAGCTAAACGGGCTTGATACAACCGGCCCCTGATGAATAAGTTTACAACGGAAAATATATACGAAGGCCGGAATAGCTAAATTTCTAGAGTTTGAAAGCAGTGGCGAAACTAGAATGATTGTTTTGAAGTATTTATACATATATTCAACTTGGCGAGAATCGATATCGTAATTGATGTGTAAAAATATAAAGCCCAGCATAAAACATGGAAGAGCGAGCAGCCATGAATCAAGTGCATCAAATGTTTTTGCTATGCAACACTACAATAATCCTAATGCTATTTCCACAAAAGCTCTGCTGGAGTCGCGCTTCAAGGAGGCGTTCCGACCTGAATTTTAAAATTTATATTTCGTTTAACACTTCTTTTGATTAAGTTTAACCGGAGTTTGATTCACTACTAACTCTGCCACTAAGTTAAAATAATATTAAATCAAGCAAAGTAAAATATTTCAGTCTTGTTGGTAAATGGTAATACAAAATATTTTTAACATTGTCTGGCGTTTTGTAACAATACTGCCTTTCTGTATGCATAGTTAATTCGATTTCCTGCTTGTAATGTACAAATTCCTCTGCTAAAACCACAACCCAGAGACCGTCGTAGGACAAAAGAATTATAATATACGAATAGAATAATTCTCGTCTCACCTCAAGTCGTGTCTACAGCGATTCAGTCGTCAATCATGTTGGAAGAAATTCTGGGAATGATTCTGTCAGTGTTTTCGCTTTTCCTGAACGAAACGCCGCGTTTGTCTCGGCGAGAACAACTTCATGAGGCAGACGACTCTAGTGAAAGCCAACCGATGGAGGAAGATAAATGGCTGCCATATATCAACAAAGAATACGATGACTTTAATAACGAGAACGAATTGACTTCGTCATCCGAATCCACTAGAGGAAGATTGACAGAATATAGCAGGATTGTTGATGTCTCACCGGTTCAAATTGTGAGTTATCGGAAGTCTATTTGCAAAAGTTTTTGGACAAATCTGAGTATAACAATCGCTATTATACCCCTAACGGCATTTATGATGGCGTTTATATATTTGGATTTCAAGACAAATGATCTTTGCATAGAATGGCAATATCACAACCACAGTTTACCGTTGTCTGTAAAACGGACTCGATTGATTGGCCACAGTGTGGAAGTGTTAATAATATTCCTTTGGTTTCCTCTGACAGCTGTAGTGCTGTTCAGTTGGAAAGTTTTCAAAATGAAGTACTTTTCTACTTTTTATGTTGGTCTTATTTTTGGATTAATAGTAGTTATCTATTACTCATTTCTGATGGTATTTGGAACCTATGATACGCATGTATATTATAAATATCCTGAAAATGTCCTTTTCTTTATTGGAATAATCATGTGTTGTGTAGTGATATTGCACAATATTCGCTCCAGTGAGCAGACCATATCTTATTCTAACTTCCATATAATGGCTCTGGTATCGTCAGAATTTCTCGTGGCTGCTTTACTGGCATTCATTTACGGATACGGCATAGTTCCTTTCTTTAATAGTGTAATGGAAAAACAGTATAAGTTTCTGATCACTACTATGACTCCTGCGTTGTTCATTATTCCTGCAGCAATCCAAAAGCATATTGCGTCGAGGAAAAGTTCCGAGATAATACATCCCGGCCGGTGTTTTGTGCTGGTGTACTGTATCCGATGTGGTATAATTTACTTATTCCGTATCATGCAAGCAGACTTTAAAAACATTTGGCTGTTCGTTGGACTTTCATTGTTTTCCGGAGTTTTGAACTTTTTGAAGAAAGCAACCTATCCCGTAAGAATGAGATTGTGGAGTTATATCATCTCACGGTTGAGGCGAACTGTTTGCTGTCAAAGACTTCATGAAATGCCTTGTGACACACCACACTACAGAAGGTTAAGAGCGGATTTAGAAATTCAAAACATGCTTTTTGAGTACATTACACTAGTTCTAAGTCAAGGGATGTTGGTCTTGTACATTGTGGATAGTTTTAAACTTTCTGTTTCGTCCATCATTTACGAGACTTTGAGGAACATTGCTATTGGCATTGGAATCGACTTCTTTTTCAATGTTTTATCCAATTTTGTTCAAATTCATTACTACAACATTCCAATTAGTCGTGTGTGGTCAAGGTACTGGAAACGACATATGCTTGCTAACGTCATCGTTCTCATGGTGATAGTGTCATATTTCACCCCAGTCCTACTCTCCGTTTTTCATGCGCGCGTGACTACGAATGGGGCGAGGAACGGAACCTACATAGTAAATAATTGCACGTCGTTTTAGTGAAGCGATGCTGAAGATATCGCACTTATTACGATAATTTACATGAAAATACAGTAGAACAAAGAAGTAATACTGATTAATAAGTTTATAAAGGAGAAATATACGAAGGAATAATGATTAACTTTCTAGAGTTTCAGTTTGAAAGTATTTATATTTCTGTAATTCTGCAGATGTAATCAATAAAAGTGTGGGAAAATTTACAGAATTGTTTCATACTTTAAATCTTGATACTTGCCGAGCATGCGCAATAAAAAGTGGGTACACTAGTTCCAGCTGTGTATCTATTGTATGAATATTGCGAGTCCAATTGCACGGCCAGTGTTTACAATAAGAGAAGCAAGTTCAAAATGCCGGCACCATACTCGAATGATCTACGGTGGCGAATCATATTTCATCGCGTCTATATTTCTTGCTTTTCATCGTGTGAAGTAACCTTAATAGAGAGCTTTAGCAGTGAGTACGAGTACGACTACGACTACGAGATTCGTCATTCTCGCGCGTTGTTTGCTTACGTCATCAGTCAAAACTCGTAGTCGTTGGAAGTCGTTGGGCTTTTGAGTAAGAGTTTTTTGATAAATTTTGTACTCGAAAGCCCAACCACAGATTAGCTATAGGTTATCTGTGGCCCAACTTAGTCACTGCTAAAGCTCCCTAATTACTCTGTGGCAGCACAACAAAGACCCTAATATACTATTTCTTAAAAAAGGCTCTGAAGTTGTACTTCAAGCAGGCGTTCCGAACTGAACTCTAATATGTCGTTTGACACTTCTTTTGATTTAGTTTAGCAATGTTTGATATAACCTATTTGCAACACAACATAGCTGCATAGAAGATTGCCCATTAATTTGAAATAACATAATTTGAGCACTAGTTCAGATAATTGTTTTCTCACGGATATATTTCACGGTTCAATTCGCCAAACGACCCACGCTTTGTGAGAGACAATCGAAGAAAGGTAATTAACTGTTTTATCGTAGAAATGCCTGGCATTCAAGTTTGGAGTTTGCGATTAATCATTGTTACAATCATTGACACAATTAACATTGTTACAATCATTGACATAATGAATTGGAACGATGTCTTACAAGCGCACAAATTCGCCATGCAAGCGAAAAATACCACATATTTCCGTTCAATATCGCTTATATACCACCCCTCCGCCTTCCCCCAAACAATGTTGATTCAACTGATAATGTATGTGTTGAATTAGATATTTTATTACAGTAGCAGGAACATTGTTTGGGGGGATTGGGGGTGGCACGAGCCTCCATGCGCGTTCGTTTCAGCCTATTTGTCAATGATTGTAGGTCTTTGTAATTGCCCTTTCATTATATGCATGGCTAATTCGTCTTCCTGCTTTCAATGTACAAATTCCTTCGCTATAAATCCAGAAACCAGAACTCGACGAAAACCAAGCGAAATACATACTATACGGATAGAATAATTCTCGTCTCACCTCTCGCCCCAAATCGTGTCTACAGCGATTCAGTCGTCAATCATGTTGCAAGAAATTCTGGGAATGATTTTGTCAGTGTTTTCGCTTTTCCTGAACGAAACGCCGCGTTTGTTTCGGCGAGAACAACTTCATGAGGCAGACGACTCTAGTGAAAGCCGACCGATGGAGGAAGATAAATGGCTGCCATATATCAATAAAGAATACGAGAATATTAATAGCGACG